ACCTAAGGTCTTAGACCGTTATTTCGATAAGCCACGTTTCGCCCGTATCAAGTGATATTTACCCTCTGTAACCAAATGGCTGAGGGTATAATTATCAGTCGGTTCTGACAACAGCCTATTTATTTAAATATATTCTGACTTATTCAAAATTGTTATCCTTTATAGGGGTGGTATCAGAAGGGCTGAGACAACAGTATCCATTTGCTCACATGAACTATTTCCTCCACTATATATTTTTTTGGAAAAATGTTTAATTTTTGTTTAAAGAGTTCTACGCAGAATTTGTGGTCAATGGGCTCTTGTGGAAGTTTATCGAAAAATTGTGTTTAGAGACGAGACCATTTTTGGTTCAAGGGGTACGTAAATAAATAAAATTGTCGATTTTGGGTTAGAGATTAGCCAGAAGCACTGCTAAATCTACCAATGCATGTAGGAAAAGTAAAATTTTGGTCTGGTCGCAACAATGGATTATATTTCGTGAATGGTTAGCGCTGCCGTGAAATCCAATTTTTTTCCAAAATTAAAGAGCTTTTTTTTAGCATGATACGTGGTTTCAACAAGACGGTGCCACTGTCACATAGCACGTATAGCAATGGACTTATTAAAAGGCGAGAAGAGGTAAACACCACAAGGTGGTCAGGGTATTATGTATTTGTGCATTTGTTTGTAACTGGCAAAAGGAAACGAGATAGACCCATAGTTCCTTTTGATGATCTGCATAGAATCACATTCTGAGTCGATTTATGCATTTCCGTCTGTCCATGTGTTTTTGTAAACAAAGTACAGTTCGCATTTATTGCCCTATCCAGTTGAAATTTTGCACAAATCATTTGTTTGGCCGAAGGACGAACCCTATTGAAATTGGAGATAATCCGTAAAAATTTAGATATAGCTCCCATATGCATCTTCATCCGATTTGCCTTTTATTGTGCACCAAACGTGTAATATCAGCCCGAATAGTATGGAATTTTGTATATACAAATTAGGCCTGAAAATAAGTATGCCAAATTTGAAATCGGTTCAGATATTGCTATAGCTCCCATATATATTGTTTATCAGATTTTTATCCTCCCCAGCCGTAATATGCACTCTGTAAAAACAATATTTTGGGAAATATATCAAATACAGATCAGAAATATCTTTGCCAAATTTTATCGAGATCGGCTCCGATTTGGATATAGCTCCTATATATATCTTTATCCGATTTCAAATTAATTGTGCGGCAAATGGGCAATACAAGTCCGAACTTAAAATATACAAATGCTTCGGCATTGTAAATTATAATTATAATCATAGCGTGTATGATTGGATGCTCCCATAAAAATTTTAAGAACTCTACTAAATTAGGAAAGTGATGGTGGGTACCATAAAGTCGGCTCCGCCCGACTTTAAGACTTTCTTTACTGGTTTTACGTTTGGGACCGGTTAATTGGCCGCCTAGATTGCGCGTAAATTGAAGCACTTATTAGGGGATAATAATAATGAAAAATCGATGGACAAGGCAACGTTTACCGGGTCAACGAGTTCAGTATACTTACTCCAAATTGCGGTCGTTATTTTTGGCCCTTTTATGCTGATTTCAGCGTGAGTTCTACCCTAAGAACATTTCTCTATTAATTTCTCAGAGAATGGTTTCTCTGCTTTCGCAAAAAGTTCTTCAACATAAATTTTGGAAATTTTCAATGTATTAAGTTTGTCATTCCGTTTGTATTCTTGATCCGCATAAAATTCTATGTCGATTTAACGTCTGACTGCAAAAAAGTCAAACGCCACAATTTTTAACCTTTTTTTATAAATTTTATTGAATGGAAGCAAAAAATGTCGGAAATAGCATTAAATTTTAGAATAAGTTTAGATTTGTTCGAATTGGTCACCTTTGGCACGAATTATGACCTTCAAACGGCCAATGAAACGTCACACACTGCCCGAATGTTGCTCTGCAGTATTTTGGCCCATTCCCGGCGAAGCGCTTGCTTGAGGTAATCGACACTTTGGTATTTTTTAGTGCCAACCTTGCTTTCCAAAATTCTCCAGGCACAATAGTCCAACGGGTTGGTATCCGGTGATTGGAGATGGAAATGAAGCGAGGAACCTCATTTTGTAATCATCTTTGGTGGCGTGTGCTGAGTGCGATGATGCTGAGTCCTGTTGGAATGTTCAAGGTTTGCGGCGAAATGTTTGCGGGCCGAAGGCTTTAATACACCCTCCAGAATATTTTCGCGATAATATTTGACATTTAATCCGATGCCACGGTCGATTAATACGAGCGGAGAGCGACCATCGGCTGTTATGGCGCCCCACACCATCACTATGTTTTCTTATCGGAGAAAACAAAATTCGGCAGTTCACCACTTTCGGCCAAGCTCTTTTGAGTCTATTTTCTTTATGTTGCGATGTAAGTTCTTGCTCTTTTTGGAATATCAATGGCCTTACCCCAGCTCATTTTTCAATATTTGTCGACTGGAATATTGCGATATGTTCAGCTCAAGAGGCATTTTGCGAAGCGGGTTTTGATCAAGTCGGTTCTTTACTTGTCGAACTATTTCTTCTGATGTTGCTGTTTTCTTCCGTTCACCTTCTTAACGTCGGTAACGAGCGATGGTACGAGACACAAAAATGTTATTCACAATTAAATGCTGGAGTGCTCTAACGATAGCCACTTGTGGCTTTCCTGCCAAATATAAAGAAATCACACTATCACGCTTGAATTCCATCACGAATAACATTTCTTCTGGAAAATTCTCACCAAAATGCTTTTGTACGCTTGTAAACAATATAATGAGCTGTCACTGGAATAATTTTAACAGCTGTCGGAAGAATGGCATAGAAATGACAGCAGTCTGAAGTTGGTTGCAGTTCTTTCATCTCACCCTGTGGGGCAAATGACCCAGTTAAAAATTCAAATGTAACCTTTGTGCACGGCTGTATGCCATTATTTCAAAAACGAAATCTACAAAAATAGATTTGGACCTAAAGGGCTTTCAATATATTATAGTGTTCTAGGGAAGTACATGGTTGGCCCCGCAGTTTTTCCACCTTGTAATGAAGGTTTAATTAAGGTCACTAAATAAACAAGTAAGCAAAGGCTACAGTCGAGCGGGGCCGACCGAATAAACGACACAGTTTATATATTCGAGATACTCGAAAGACTTCCATAAGATATTGTGACAAATAATAAAAGAAAACCATCAGGTTTCGTTCTCTAATTTTCGAATAATAGCAACTTAAACTAATTTGCTCATTTCCAATTTATTGGTAGATTTTGCACGTAAATGGTCTTCCTAGATCTGGAACCAATATTTCCCAAAGACCTATAATCTCTCAGAAGTGGCAAAAGATTAACATTTATTATTGGTTTTTGACTGAAACGCATCTATATGAGATACAGACATTTGACTACATTCTTTAATGATATCAGCGTTAACGACATAGTCAGAAGTGTGTCTTTCCTGTATTTGTGAATTCTCCAAAAAGTCACTTACATGGACATTTTCGTATTTTGTCTACAAAAGTTGGCAAACTATTTCACACATTGAATATTTTTGGATGGTCATCCAAAACTGCTTGGCTTTTTGCAATGCCCGTAACCCCCTTTAAAATGTGCGTGAGGATCGGGCAATAATTGCGACCTGCTGACAATTTTGCAGTTTTTTGGTCCATTTCAACCCCTAAATATATGGCGATCATCTCCAAAAAGAGTAGGCTTCTATTCTGACCCTCATCTGATCCCCATGCAAAATTTCGTTAGGATCGGACCATAAATGCGATCTGTATATGATATCCTGGTATCCTAACTACTTAGTTTTGTTAGCTGTAGAAATATTACCAAATGTTTAATTCAAAATGAAAATATGCCAAAAATATGACAAAATTGAAAAAATATGAGAAAATTTTAAAAAATCAATATTTTCATCTTTAGAGAGATATTTTTATGCGATTTTTTAGACGTTGTTTCATTCCTGCCAAGAGGCCATTCTGAATTAATGAGAACTGTTGAAATCAGTTCAGCCGTTCTCGACATATAAGAGATCTTTCAAGCATATCTTCTTTGATAGACATATATATCGCACATATTTTGATATATATCCGTTTTGTCGGATGTTAACATCAATGTAAAGATCAGGAGTAACTTTGTCATGGTTTTATGATTTCGCCGGGATTTAAAATATTCGCGGTTTAATGAAAAATTTTGAATTTTTTCAACACAAAAGATATGGTCTATTTTACCCGCTAAATATTATCCGATGACCACCCAAATTGGTAGGCTTCTTCCCCGCCCTAAACTCTAGCTACATGCGAAGTTCCGCGTCGATTGGTCTATAATTGCGACCTGTATATCTACTGCAAAATCCGACATTTTTTCAGTGTTTGGTCCATTTCGACCCCTAAATATTATGCGATCATCTCCAAAAGAAATAGGGTTCTATTCTGACCCTAGCCCCACCTCCATTCTATATTTCGTGAAGATTGGGCCATAACTGCGACCTGTAGAGCGATTACAAATTAACATGGACAGACGGACAGACGGACGGACGGACATACATAGCTAGATCGACTCAATTCGGCGAGATAGGAAGATCCATATATACTTTCCTATGTGGGAAATCAATATTTCGAGGTGTTACATAATTTTTGGCCCAATCAAACTTATAATACCCCCAACACATAGTGTTGTAGGGTATAAATATTTAATTGTAGATGTACCCATGTAGATGTACCCTCAAAGAAATGTGGCGCAATGTTCGTTTTCTCTTTCACCTCTATGTGGAGTCGAGTTCCGTGATGACCAAACTAACAATTCAAATTTGTTTTCAAAACCAACGACCGACGACTAATATCACCACAATACATTTGGCACAAAGCTTTCGGCTTGAGCTTTTTTCTGCTTTGTCGTTTGTTTCATTTCCATGGCGTTGTGTGTTCGTTGCTGTCTACGACGAACTTTTAGTGCGAAAAGAAAACGCTCTAAGAAATTGCCTCCAAACGATGAACTATTGTAAACTTTTTTCTTAGTTTATTTGCATGCGGCGAGCGAGCGTTACGGCTAAAAAGAAAAAATCGAAGGCGGCACCAAATTGAAAAAAAAAAAAAACGCGATTCTAGTCAAAGTCAATTTTTTCTGGCTGTTGGAGATTATTTTTAAATTTTATATATTTTACGGAAAAACGACAAAAACAACAAACGAAAAACAAACATAAAATATAAAATTTGTAAAGATCTTCGAAAAGTGAAAAATTATTTTTAATAAAAAAATAGCGAAAATAGTTGAGACATAAAATTTTGTTTACCCAGGTGTGTGGCGCAAAAAAATGAAATAAAAATGAATAGGAAAACAATAATAAAGATAACAAGAATCTAATTAAAATAAATAACAACTAATAATTAAAAAATGTCCCTGCCGAAAAATAATTTTATATTTTCCATTTTTCTTGTTTTACAAAAAAAAAAGTTGCCAATTTCTCTGTCTCAAGAAAACGTGAGGAATCCGGAAAAATGGCCTGCTCAACGAAAACGCTGAAATTCTTTAGCATCAAATGGGATGTAATCTATGCGGTAAGTACCCAGCATTCCCCAACCGTTCGGCCGCAAATTTGTTGCTGTTGTTGGTAAGAGACTAATATGACCACCATAGAGTCCGTCCACAAACCACCCGACGAGATGTGTTCATCACTTATTTTAGTTTGGCATTTGGGAAACGTGCATTTGATTTGAGAATCGCCAACAAGTCAAGTCGGTGGAAATTTAAAAATTGTGTTTAGCATAATTGTCGTTTTTGTTGGGATTGTTAGCCATGGAGATGTTGGAAAATGTGTGTGTTTTTATTTTTTTATTAAAAAATACTAAATGTACTTGTCCCACAAGACAATTGTTGTTATTTGTTTTTAATTTATTTAGTATTTACTAGTCAGTCGGTGTGCAAGTGGTCATAGACATGGATCATCATCATCTTCATCGGCGTTATGAACGACCACAGCAGAACACCAACAACAACAACATAGTCAACACCACTCAAGTATTTGTTTACATTTGTTCGATCGCTCGTATTGAGAGACCGTAGATACATAAATCGACAGACAGACGTTTGTAGATGCTTCAAGTTTATCGAACAAAGTGCACACGGGTTTATTGCGAACATTTTTTTTGGCACGAACTGGGCCATAACAGAAATGTGCTATAACTTTGTCAAAATAAATAAATATTAGGGTGGACCTCTATCTTTGGGGAAGATTTGAAATGTACTATATTTATGTGTAATACTTGTAGAAAGTTTATCATTAACCATTTAGAAAACATATATCGGTTTGACGACATGCCTCAGCATATGAACATGTATTCGTGATTAATCTTTGTTAGGGGGGTATGAGAACGAGTGGACCAAAATATCCGGTCTTTATACCAGATGCGATGCTTAAAGAAATTCGAGGAATCATTTCAAAGAGGAACGGGACGCCAATATTTTCCATTTTCGATTCAGACCCAGATCTAATATAAATATTACCACATATCAATGTTGGGCTTTTTCGAAAATTCTAAACTTTTGTGTTAGGAGCTATCAGAAAATGTCAATGTTGTCGGTTATTTTGAGACAAAGATCTTAAAAAAAATAAAACCCTTTGCGGAGAAAGTTCAAGAGAGAGAGTGAACCGATAAATCCCTAGATAAAGTGCTGTTGGAAATATCTGAATATCTGTGGATTATTTTGCAAGTTTTATGATTATTCAAAATGTTGACCTTACCCGAAGGAGTGGGCCAGCATTGACCATTTGCGAACCTGACCCAAGTCTCTTATAAATATTACGATGTGACGGTTTCTGACTATATCAACTACTTCCTACACTTTATATGATATAAATATACATATATTTCTGAAAAATTTCGAACTTTTGTCGGGGAGTTACCGTAAAGATTGGACCGATCAAAATAATTGGATCTGCGAAGGACAAATCAATCGGACACTTATTTAAAATATTAATAGTTTTTAATCAAAATTTTACTCCTTTGTATTTTATATGGTAAATTATTTGTTTTTTTTTATAAAAATTTGTGTATTCTGTATGGCGAAGGTACCATAAGGAGTGGGTGGATTTGGCCCACCCCCGAAGCATACGTTTCGTAAAAATATAACAATGTGCGAAGTTATGATCATTTGGGACAGACAGGCAGACGGACGGATATAGCTAGATCGACTCCAAATGTTCAGAAACTGGTTTCCTCCAAGGGGACCAAGGATCTTAAACTTTTCGACGAGGCATATTTTGACCCATCAAAATATATAGAGGGTATATATCATAGCTGTATTGCTAATGGTATAATGAGCCTTGTCGATTCATATCGGTCCCTTATAAAGCTATTCACTACAATTTTCGTTGTTTTAGGGTCTTCAGCAACGATTTCAAAACTAATCAGCTGTCATTTAAAATATAAGTTTCTAAGAAGTACCATATAACGGTATATCATGATATGCGATATTTTAAAGCTTCCGGTCATAATTCCCAAGCAAATGAAATAAAACTTGGCGGGTTTTTGCCGGCTGAGGAATACAAAGTCGAAAACAGCTTTCACCTTTTATACACAGATTTGCTCGTTTTCTCTCGGCAGCGAAACTTGCTAGCAACCGGGAGTAATCGAAGAGTGTGAGTGTTTTTACGCAGTTTACTCTTCACTCTTTTGTTCTATCAGGGAGCTCTCCCAAATCACTCCTGTTTGAAATATTAGAGTGGTAGTCGAAACGCTCTGAAGAGAGCAAGTAGCTCTGGGAGAGGAAAAAATAAGTTTGATTATGTGTTTGTAATAGCAGATTGGTTTTGATTTTTATGTGAACTGAAGAGAAAAGCAAGAGAATCAAAGAGTATGAGGATTTTGTGTGCAAACAAAAAAAAAAACAAAAGTAGAATCTGCTTGGTTTCGAGCGGATTTTACTCCCACTCTAAAACGAGTGAAACATGGGCGCTTTTATTTGAGCGACATTGAAACAGAGAGTATGCTCGATTTTTTTTCTTCTCCCAGGAGAGCTCCGGCTCCAATTCGGGCAACTTTCATTCTATGCTCGAGTAGTTTTTCGTTTTTTTGTCTTCAAAGAAAAATTTGATTTTTCAATATTTCTAATCTGAACAATCAGTCAAAATTTGATTTTGAAATCTTACCTTTTTCAAACAAAGTCGAGTAAAAATGATTTTAATTTAAATTTCTTCAAAGTGTAGTTCGTTCAAACAGGTTTATATTCTGTGTAGAAAAATGTTTGATACAGGTTCACCATTGGGTAAAGCTTTTATATAAATATAAATTACGTTTTTCAATATTTTGAATGTTTCTGACACATATGCCCATTAATGAGCTAAAACTTGACATTTTGGGTTCACAATTAATAAAGGTCCGAATACACATTATGTTAGAGTCATATGTTAAGTGACATTTTACACAAAAGATAGCATACTTTTAAGCCTTCCAAATTATTTTTTTAACTTGAATGAAACACTATACTATGTAAAACGTCTACTATATTATATACTTATACATACACTTGACTTATATAATTACTGTTTTATTCAATACTATACTATAAAACGTTTCATTTCAGTCTAAAGTTTCTTAGTATCACCTAAAAGTATGCTATACAAATTCACACGGAAAAAAGTAGAATATGTCAGTTTAGATGCGACTTCAATTTTCTTTTTAAAATAGCCTTAAGTTCGCATATAATGATGAATGTATGCATTTATGTCGACTTTGGTATTGATTTTAAGAGATAAGGTATATATTAGAGGTGTTTTCTAAATGTTATTTCTGCAAAATATATATATATATATATATATATATATATATATATATATATATATATATATATATATATATATATATATATATATTATTTTTTTGGAGTTTTTCTGAATTTAAATGACCATAAACTTTAGGCAAAAATTTGTTCTGAAAACTTCCGGAATATCCTTGAATGATAAAACTGGATAAGACTGATTTGGGAAAGTTTCTAAATTAGATTTCATGCAGTTATTTTCTGTGCAGAGAACATTTTTGAAAACGGATGGAAATTGACATATAAATGATTGAAAAAATCATCATTTCCTCATTTACCCACTGTACATATTAGCTTAAAGACAATTAATGTCAATAAGTTGCCAACAAAGTAGTTACACACCAACAACAACAACAAGCCCATTGTTTATAGAAAGAGTTGTAACTTAATCGGTCTTCAAAGTACACTGCCAATACCTCCACCAACTACCCACCTACCTGTGGGTTCCCCACTAGTTCGCTTGTTTATAAATCTTTGAAAAGTTTCATTCATTTTTATTCAACATTACAATTTTACTACGATTTGCTTGTTGTGGTAGTTGTTGTTGTTTTTGTTGCTGTTAAGCTGTTTAGTTTAACATTTTCTTAATTATCCGCCTTGCCTTGACTGGGTTTGTTAATAAAAAAATATATAAAATGGCAAAGCTTTTGTGGAGGTAAATATTTAGAAAAATACACACACATAGATTTTTATATTGCATTTTTGGCATGGGTGTGCTGGACTATTGTTGTAATGTGTTTGCAAGTTGGAGACAAAATTAGAGATAAAAAAATAAAATAGGACTCTGCTAATTTCAAATTTTAAAACAGCAGTCTCTTTTGTTGGAGTCTGTAACGGGAAACTTCTGTACCGAACTCCAAAATTCCATGCATAATTATAAAATACCGATATATGGGGCCTATAGGAAGACATTCATAGACAATTTTATGTCACAGGCTGTAGTATCTATTACGAAGTTCAAAAAAGAAATTTGAAATCATTCCGGTGAATAATGTAGCTAAGATCATCAAAATACCGAATACAGTTCTTCCGGTTCTTCTGTTGTATGGGGCTATTCGAAGAACAGCACCTGCAGAAGCAATTTTCTGTAAAAGGCTGTAGTACCTACTAGGAACTGTATTTTAAATTGTCAAAATACCGAGTATAGGGAGGTACTTATATAATGGGGCAATACCTACACCTGTCCATTTTCAATCCCAAAATGTTAAATGTATATTTTACGGTGTCACAAACGGAATGGCAAACTTAGGGTACATTAAGTTTGCCATTCCGTTTGTGACACTATATGGTGGAGGGTATAAAAACGGGAGTTTTCGTCAAAACGTAAACAGTCCGTGTTTAAGTCCGTCCGGGCCGAACTTTGAATACCCTCCACAATTTGGAAGATATTCACAGAATTTCAAGAAAAATCCATTTGAAACATACTCCTTAATCATAAAAAATACCGAATAAGGGGAGTTACAGTTTTTTTGGGGTTTCGAATACGAAATTGACAAAAACCATCAACATACCGAATATCGGGAGGTACCGTTATATGGGGACTATACCAAAACGTGGACCGATATATCTCATTTTCAATACCAGCCATCCTAAACACAGTACAAATTATAATATAAAAATATATATACATTATGGGGTCTACGACGAATATTTAGGGATGTTACAAACGGAATGACAAAGTTAATATACCCTCCATTCCAAGGTGGAGGGTATAATTATATTGGGAGTTAATGTGAAGAAG